GTGTTTGTTCTTGGAAGTAGGTTTGTGTTGATTTCATGACGAATCTTGGTTATGGAACCTTGGTTTTTACATAGAAGCCAGAAGAACCAAGTGAGTGCTGAGCCTGTCGTATCTCTACCCGCTAACATGAAGGTCAAGATCGTGTCTCTAAGGAATCTGTCATCACTTGGATTCAACAACTTGTACTTGGCCGTGTCCACATTCATTGAAGACGTCAACAAATCTTTAAAAGATGAAGAATCGATGGTATCAATCCCTCGGTTTATCTCATCTCTCTTAGAAGTTATGCACTTAGAGTAAACACGATCGAAAATCGCGTGAGCTCTTTTCAGCTTCAACTCATCTCCAAGCCCAAACAATCTTTGCATCTTCCAGACAAACTCTGGCTTGACATGTCTAAAGAAAATCGCTTCCTCAGCATCGTCTAAAGCTCTTGCAAACTTGATTTCCGGCATTTCAACCGAAAGACAACCTGGATCAAACCCTGTCACTAAAACAAACGTAGTGTCGAACGTGAATCTTTGGAAAACATCTTGCAAGTCCACGGCGATTTTCTCTTTAGCAACATGGTCAAGAAGTGGGACAAGACCTTTCTCTAGCTTACTCAAGCTTGTAGCTAATGAAAACCTTTGAAACTCGGGATTCATCATCATGCTTTGAGCTGATTTCCTAAGATCCTTCCACAACTCCGAATCCGCATTGAAAATCCCATTTCCCAAAACGTCGAATAACTTCTTGAATTCGGTTCCTTTGGGGTAATTTGCGAAGTTTGAACTCATGATGTGGTGGATATTAGCAGGATCAACTGTGATCAACATGTCGAGGCCGCCCAAAATGGGGCCTTTGAAAGGATAGTTTAAGTTCGCGTCGTCAAGAACCTCGGTTATAAAGTCGTAAACACGAGGGATCTCAACGAACAAACCCGGAAGCATACCAAGCAACGGCCAGTTGGTGAGAAAGGAACGGTGAGGTTTCTTGCTGAACAAGAAAATTTGAAAGATAAGGAAACAAAAGAAAGCAATGGAGATTTCAAGTAAGCTCACCATATCTACAGGGAGAAATTAGAATGGATATTGTACTAGTATGATACGTATGTATGTTCTCATTCATAGAATATATATATAAAAACTACAAAGCATCATCTTTTGTGGCCTTGAAATTGGTTACATGTCTTTGTTGTTCCAATAATTACAAGTCACACTAAAAAAAAAATAGATTATTACTTTACATCATTCTTTTATTGATACAACTAAAATTACATCATTTTTATGAGTAATTTTGAAAATGGTGACTCTAATATTTTGTATCAATAAAAAAGACCGATGTTAATATGTGTCGCCTATAAAAAATGAAAGTAAAGTTTACATCAGTTTGTATAAATGATATTTTGTTTCGGTTATAACAATTGAGTTGAATATTTATATCATTTATTTAGTTGATTTTATAATTACATTAATTATTTAAAAAAATTTATATTATTGATGATTAATTGATGATAAATTTAATATTAATTTTTTTATTAAACATAGTTTAATCAAGAAAATTAGCTAAAAGATTAGTCATGTTTTATTTGATATTTTTAAATCTTATATTAAATGTTAAAACTTATTATAAAATACTAATATCATTTAGCCCAAAAACTTACTGCTACAATTACACGTCAATGATTTTTTAATAAATGAAAAGACGAAGTCAGTCTTATTAACATTAGGCGATTGAGTTCTCATATTTATAGAAATATTATCTCTTTCACTTTCTCACTAGTTGTCGATGTAGGACAAAAAAAAAATAAAAGTTAATTACGTCAGTTTTATTGATATAAGTTTTATGTCATTTTTAAACGATGTTAACCAAAATTAGTAATTACATCAATTATTAATTGATGTAAATTCATATTTTTGTATAAGTTTTATTAAAGTGATGCAAACTAATATAGATTTACATCAGTTTCAATAAACCGAAGCTAAATTAGTGAATAACAACATCAGTTATTATTATTGATGTTAAACTATATATTTTATATCATTTATTAATAAGTAATTTAAAATAATATCATTTAGTTTTGTGATGCTATTTAATTGATATAACTTAATTTTTTTTGTAGTGTCACAAGACCCACGACTCACATCATGAGGGATCTTAACTTATATTTGGTGATTATGTCTTCTTTTGTTTTTGTTTGGTATCGTATCGTAGCGTTTTGGTGAGTCGGAACCTCTTTTAGAAACCAATGGTCCAGTGCATGCGACGTATAACTAACATTCGTTATTTGTCCCATATCCAGCATGCGTTTGTCTGACCAAGAATCCTTTTTGAAGAAAAGAAATACTGAAATAGTACTATTTAAATTCAAATTGCTCATTAGTTTAAGTAAATCAATTGATTTATGGGTTAATTTTCTCACTAGCCAAATTTTTTTAATAATTAGTAAAGTAGCAAAAATTAGCATATATGACATACTTATGTCCA